CAACAAAAGGGATTGGTACAGTTCATTTGAAGTTGCATGATGGCATGACTAAAGAGTTGACAGGTGTTCGGTATGTACCGAATTTGAAAAAAAATCTTATTTCTTTGGGCACTTTAGAATCCAAGGGCTTCAGGTTTCATTCAGATGGGCAGACATTGAAAGTTACTTATGGTGCACTTGTTGTGATGAAAGCTCATCGATATGTTCATTTGTATTTATTGCAGGGAAGCACTGTGACAGGTGAAGCATCTGCAATCTCAGAAAATATGGGCACATCTGGTTCTGATACTACTAGACTGTGGCATATGAGATTAAGCCATACCGGTGAGAAATCTCTACAAGGGCTTGTGAAACAAGGTCTTCTAAAATGTGCCACAACTTGTAAGCTTGATTTCTGCGAGCATTGTGTCTTGGGGAAGTAAACTAGAGTGAAGTTTGGTACTGTTGTACATCAGACGAAGGGCATTCTTGATTATGTGCATTCGAATGTTTGGGGTCCTACAAAGACTCCCTCTTTGAGTGGTAGGCATTAGTTCGTGACCTTTGTTGATGATTATTCAAGAAGGTCTTGGGTCTACACTATGAAGCACAAGAGTGAGGTATTAAGCATTTTCTTGGGTTGGAAGAAAATGGTTGAGAACCAGACTGGGAGAAAGATTAAGATTTTGAGATCGGATAATGGTGGTGAATACACATCCGACCCTTTCTTTAAAGTTTGCAAAGAGGAAGGGATTGTGAGACATTTTAGTGTCCGGGGAACTCCACAACAAAATGGAGTTGCAGAAAGATTGAATCGAACCTTGCTTGAGAAGGTTAGATGTATGTTGTCTCAGTCGGGTTTAAGCAAGTCATTTTGGGCAAAGGTAGTTAATTATGCATGTCACATCATGAACCAGTTACCCTCAGCTGCTGTTCAGGGTAAGATACCAATGAAGGTATGGACTGGAAAACCTTCTTCTGATTATGACTATATCCGTATTTTTGGTTCACCTGCTTATTTTCATGTGACTGAAAATAAACTTTATCTTATAGCCAAAAAGGCTATCTTTCTTGGTTTTAGTAGTGGTGTCAAAGGTTACAGGTTGTGGTACCCAGAGATGAAAAAACTTGTAATTAGCAGAGATGTGATATTTGATGAAGAAAGTATGTACAAAGACTCTGAGAAGAATGTGAAAGATGTCCAACAGGTGGAGCTTGAGAAAGTTACCTCTGGTACTTCAAATGCTATTTCCGCTGATGCCGAAGCCACTACAAGTGAAGAAGTTGGAGACCATGAAGATGTTGAAGAAGTTGAACTTGAAGATTCTATTCAAGTTGAAGAGCAAGTTTCACCTCAAGAGTCTATTGCAAAGAACAGAGGAAAAAAGACAAATTACCAAGCTAGCTCGGTATAGTGACTATGTTGCTTTTGCTCTTCCTATTATCATTGATGATATTCCATCCAATTTCGAGGAAGCCATTGAGAGTGAGGAGAAGAAGAGGTGGTGCAATGCCATGGGTGATGAGACGAATTCTCTCTTGAAGAACAAGACTTCAGAGTTAGATAAATTGCCTAAAGGCAAGAAAGCTATCGGTTGCAAATGGGTGTATGCCAAGAAGGAAGATGCTGATGAGAAAAGCAATGTGAGATTTAAAGCAAGATTAGTTGCTCAAGGGTATGCACAAAAGGAGGGCATTGACTATAATGAAATCTTTTCTCCAGTTGCGAAGCACTCCTCAATTCGCATTATGTTAGCTCTTGTTGCACAGTATGATCTTGAGCTTGTGCAACTTGATGTGAAGACGGCTTTCCTACATGGTGATTTGAATGAAGAGATCTATATGTGTCAACCGGATGGGTATACAGTGAAAGGGAAGGGGAATTTGTTTTGCAAATTGAAGAAATCACTTTATGGCTTGAAGCAATCTCCAAGGCAATGGTATTTGAGGTTTGATAAATTTATGAGAGGCCAAAATTATTCTAGAAGTCAATATGATCATTGTGTGTACTTCAAGAAGTTGCAAGATGGGTCTTTCATTTATTTGTTGATATATGTTGATGATATGTTGATTGCCTCAAAGAATGTCGAAGAGATTGAGAAATTGAAGAAGCAAATGAAGAATGAGTTTGAGATGAAGGATCTTGGTGAAGCGAAAAAGATCCTTGGCATGGAGATCACTAGAGATAGAGAGAAGGGTTTGGTCAATTTGAATCAAAGACAATACCTTGAGAAGTTGATTCGGAAGTTTGGAGTTCATGATTCAACCAAACCGGTTAGTACCCTTTTGGCTCCTCATTTTAAATTGAGTTCTCTACAATGTCCTAAAACTGATAAAGAGAAGCTGCAAATAAAAAATATACCATATGCAAATTTGGTTGGTAGTTTGATGTATGCAATTGTATGCTCTAGACCGGATATTGCTAGTGCAGTTGGCATGGTGAGTCGATATATGCATAATCCAGGTAAAGAGTATTGGCAAGCAACTAAGTGGATATTGAGGTATCTCCATGGTACTCGAGACGTTGGTTTATGCTTTGAGAGAGATGACTCTGGTATTGGTCATTTTGCAGTTGGTTATGATGATTCAGATTATGCAGGTGATCTAGATGGAAGGAAGTCTACTACAGGCTATGTGTTTACTATGGCTAAAGGGCCAGTTTGTTGGAGGTCCATTTTGCAGTCGTCTGTTGTCTTGTCTACTACAGAGGCTGAATATATGGCAGTTGCTAAAGCTATAAATGAGGCCATTTGGATACATGGGCTGATTAGAGATTTGGGGGTTAATCAGAAGCAGGTAGAGGTACATTGTGATAGTCAGAGTGCCATTTATTTGGCTAAGTATCAGGTTCATCATGCGAGGACCAAGCACATAGATGTGCGTTATCACTTTGTTCGTGAAATTGTTGGTGAAGAGGAAATCATTCTCCAGAAGATTCCAACTAAAGACAACCCCGCTGATATGTTGACTAAGGTTATTGGTGTAGCCAAGTTTGTTCACTGTTTGAACTTGGCTCACATTATGCCTATATAAAGAAGGCGTTGAGCAGTAGGAGTTTTGGAGCATTTAGCTCGGCATGAGTTGTTCTCTTGCTAGTGTTTGGGAGTGATTTTTTGGGTCAATTGTGTTGGTTGGCTTATCATGGCGTTTTCGGAACTTGGCCAAGGTGGAGATTGTTGAATGGTGGCCAACTGGCCATTACCTTTTGGCTATTAAACAAATAAAAAGAAAAAAAAAGGTGAAAGAAAAAATGATGAGGGAACATCATGATGAGGAGTCATCATGATTATGTTTGTTGAAAAGAAAAAATGAAGGTCATGATGATGTTTTTGAATTTTTTATTGGGTGCTTTTGTATTGATGAAGTTATCATCCGAATGTGAGAGAGGTAGTGAAGGGTGCACCATTTTCTGTTTTAGTAGCCCATCTTTGAGAGAGCAAAGAGAGCTGCAGAGAGTAGAAAACTGAGAGCAGAAAAGAAGAAGAAGGTGCTCTTCTTTTTTGTTAGTAATCACCCACCAAGGTAGTTGTTGTTGTAATAGCTTTGAGCTTTGTATAGAGAAGAAATTAATCACTATATTTCTTTTTCTATTTGTTTCTTTGGTATGTGAAAACTATTGGTTGTATTGGTTTATTTGGGTTGTGAGATTGCCAACACTTTGTAAACTTCAATTTGGTTGATAGTGGATTATTGGGTGAGCTCCTACTGCTCCGAGGACGTACTCCAGTTACACTGACTGTTGAGGAACCTCGTTAAAATCTTGGTGTCTTTTATATTTTGTTCTTGCATTTTCATTTGATAAATTTCCTATAGGTTAGCTTGAGTTGGTTCCATAAGATTTGGTGCTATCCTAGCACAACACTTGTTGCCTCTGTTCGTGTTGCTTTTTCTATTTTGATCCCTTGGTTCATGGTTGCCTTTGGTTACTTGAAATTGTGCTGCCTCAAAATGTTTGGGTTCATGTAATGGTTTGCTCGGTTTAAATGTTTTAGTTATTTATAATTTCAATTTAACCTAGTATCCTGCACATAGAAAATATGATAAGCTTCTCATATATAATCTCATGATAATGGAGAAGCTATATATACAACCTCTGAGAAATAAGCACGGCCATGTTCACTTGTGTCGACGTCTGTGGGGGGTTTCTGTGTAAAATAAAATAGAATAAAGTGATCTATGTGGGAGATGAAAGTTCAGGATTCAGAAGAACAATTAAGCATTTTCTGGAAGAGGCAAAGAGATATCTTTTAAGGTACCTTCCTTTTCTCTATTTTCTCATTCATTCAAACACAGCCCACCCGTGGTTTGAGTTACAGCTTTATCTGAGTTCAATTTTCGAGTTTAATTTTAATCGGTTTCCATGGTTGATCTAATATTTTAATTACTTTGATTTGGTTCCTTTTGAGGGTTTTTGTTTCTCTGAATCTGACTTTTTGGTTGATGTGTCTTGATCAGACCTCCATCCTAATATTTCAATTTTTCCTCATAGATTTTGAGCTAGCGTTGCTGATACTAGGCTCCATTCATCTGTTATCTGCTGCCTTAGACAAACAAATTCAGTGGGCTGGTAAATTCATTGTCCATTTCCTTTTGAAACTTGTGGATTGGACAAACAAATTCAGTAAAGGTCGTACCCAGTGCACAAAGCTCCCGCTTTTCAGTGGCAAAATAATATATTATCTTTTGGTTTAGGACTCAAAACTGAATTATATGCTCTTTTGGGAGGAACGTTTGCCAATCTACTCGGCTGCGTGAAATGTTTAATATTAGTAGCAAAATGCACTTTTTGAAAGCAAGGAATTAATTCAGTAAAACTACATTAATGTAGATAGATGCCCTTTTGGAGGAACATATGCCCATCGGACATCTATGTGAGAATGTATATCATAAATAGCATGACACGCCCCGACCCTGATATTCCCTGAATACCAGGATGGACACATGTTGGCCGACACCCGAGAGTGACGAAAACCATTAATTGATACAAAAGCTAAGAATAAGAAATAAATAAGGGTTAGAAATTTAGAATACAATGAATTAAAAATTTTAGGAACGTGCTCAGAATATACAACTAAACCTAATCACTAAGAAGAATTAAGATGAAATTGAATGAATAAAGAAGTGGGTCCTACATCGAGAGGATTCAAAGATGCTGCTGCAGAAGTGTCTTGTCGCCGGGATTAGGTGCCTTGATCCTAAGTCCTGAATGGGAGCGTAAAACAAAGGTGAGTGGACCAAGTTCATATATACAATAATAATAAAACAGTTATCAAGATAATAATCCCCACAGTTATATAATGAAAACTACTAGCATAAAAAGTGATAGGTTTTTCTGAAACTCTAGCATGCCATAAAACATCTCAAGAGGTATAACGCAGAAAAACATCATATAAATCATCGCGTAAATCATCTCGTAGATCGTCTCGTAAGCGCGGTGTGCTGCTAGTAAGATCACTGAATAAATATCACTCCCAGCCCAATGCCTGCTCTGTGGTCTCTGCGCTCGTAGCCAGAGATTACCAACTCCCGGCCCAATGCCTCTTCATGTCCCTCAACCCGTAGCTAGGGATTATTTCTCCCAGCCTCAATGCCAACACCAGATTCTCGCCCCAGGCGGCATAGTGTCCATTAGGTACGCACAAATAGTTACACCTCTCATAAATAACCACTTCATAGTATAAATGTCGTCCATCGTCTATACTATAAAGAGGGGTTTCAAAAACATGTTCTAGCATCCTATCGTCATCTATCAAATAGTCTACCAGTTTATGGTTTTCATAGAAAATCCGATATATCAAAATATAGCTCAATATAGGCCAACAATTGATTCCTCACCAAAAACACGAGACGAAAATCAATATATTTAATAAACAGGCTTCACATAAATCAAATCATAAACTCGTAAGCATGCTAATCATTTATGCAATTAAACTATAAAATCATGTAATTTTAGAAGGGATCCACTCACAAGTACTCCTTAGCAGTAGAGTTGTGCAGATAAGGATTAAGAATTTCTTCACTAGCAACTTCACCTAAACACAAAAATGTAATAAATGAATAAAAGGGTTTCCAAAGGATTTGGGCTTGAATTAAAATAAATAAAGGATTTAGGTTGAATGGGTTAAGGTCTAATGGGTTTTTAGAATCCTAAGGTTGTAAGGTTAAAAGGGTTTAGGGAAAAGAAGAGTGGTTTGGGCTTAAACCCAAACCCACACTCACACATACGCCAGCCCACATACACACACCTGCACAGCACATACATACACACCCACACGTACACAACACACGCACACACACCACACAAACATACACACATGCACAACATGCATATGCATGCACGGCATGCACACACACTCATGGTACACACACACACACACACACACACAACACACACACGCACTACATAACACACACACCACACAACCCACACACACACATACATGGGCCATGCAGGACACGGCCCAATCACACACACACTCCACACAAACACGGCCCGCAGGCCAATTAATCAAAAAGGGAGATGGGCTAGTTCCAGTAAGGGCTAAGACCCGAGGTTAATTGAGAAGGCCGGGTGGCTTGGTGGCTTTGGGTGCAGATCGGGGAAGAACACCGGAGCTGTATAGCTCCGGTCGACGGCAAACGATTACACCACTACTCAAACCAAGTACTAAAATGAAGAGGGAAGAAAGTATCGTATATTTCATACCCTAGCTTCGCCGTGTACGGCCGTGAGAGCTCGGAAAGAATCCTCGAAAGTCACGGGTTCGCCGGACAATATGGGTGAGTTTCCCCCGTGCCGTTCCCGTCCTCAAACCTTGGAAGAACAACATGGTTTTCATCATACAACGTCCAGAAACCAACATGGTAAATTAAAAAGGTAATTGAACTTACCTAGTCGGAAGAAATGGAGAAATCCGTCGGAGGTCCCTTCTCTGAGTTCCTCGACCTCACTGCGACGGAGAGGGAGAGACACGGTGCAAGGGACATGATGATGAAGATGGTCTAAATAGAGTTGCATGCAGGATGCTTGGCAGGTCACGATGCAGAGAGTGAAGGATAGGGTTTTGAGAGACTGGAAAGTGTAGAGAAAGAGAGTTATGGGAGAGGTGAGGGAAAAGAAAGAACTGAGAGAGGAGAGACCGGAAAACACAAAAATAAAACAAGGTGGGCCCCACGAGCTCACCAATTAAGGTCTTAAAACAACTTTTAAATAAAAGTAGGGTTGGGATGTTTCATGGAAAAAGCACTTTCAGAAGTTAGTGACGTTTTTTGGAAACCGTAATGGACTAAGCATATTCTTGCTCTTGCTGGAAGTCTTATTTTTCTAAATTTATCGGATGTAGAGACTTACGGAAGTGAGGACCAATTCAAGCTAACACAAGGCGTGGTAACAGATAGTATAACCAGATAGTAACAGGCACACGCTCCTATCGTACCACCGGTGAATGAATGTCGGTCAAATAATTGCTCGAAGATGCATAGAGAACCGTTGTTTAATGCAAGTACAAGTGGTTGTATTTGGTTTCTCTAGTACAAGTTTAAAAGAGAAGAATGTAAAGGTGCACTTATCTACATTATGAACAAGTGTTATAGGGCTGGGTTCGATTCAAAACGGTTCGGTTTTTTGTCAAAATCGAAACCAAATCAAAATTTTCAGTTCGGTTTCGATTTTTTCATGAATTTTTTTTTAATACCTGGAGCTTGAAGCACATTTCTTTTTTCCGCATTCGGCTGCAAATTTACCCTTTCTCTCCACACTCCGCAGATCCAGAGCCATCTTAAGCATAGATGAAGGTGGTCGCTGCATACTTGTTGGCTGTGTTGGGCGGCAAGACCACCACAGCTGGTAGAAGTGGTGTTGTTGCAGTTGTTGCAACTGATTGTGGTGGTGGTGCTGCCGCTGCCTTAAAAGAGGAGAAGCAAATAATGATATCAGGGGAGAAAAAAAAAAAGGGAAATAAATGGGTGAGACTCTCACAACACAAAAATCAAACAAATCGGCAATACGAAACAAAAAAAAACCCATAAATTTACACCAAAATTTCAGATTCCCTCCATGGAATTTACTCTAAAAAAAACCCATAAATTGACAAAATAAATAAGAGAGAGTGGAGATCTTACCCTGGAGTGAGAAGATCGAGAAACAGAGGGAGAAAATGGAGAAGAATGGAGAAATTTGAGGTATGGACAAGGAGGGAGTCTGGAGGCGCAGGGGACAAGAGAGAGAAGACAAATAGAAAAGGTATGGCTGCTACTACTAGTGGCTAGGGTTTTGTTAATTTCTAATTCCACAAAAGACTATAAATTTAAATCTTTATAAATAGTTTATTCATACAATCAAAACAAAGTAAAACCTATTGCCAAGTTGGTTTCAGTGAAACTTTTCAACCTGGAGCACATGGGTTCGAACTCTCCTTCCAAGATTTTAGAGATTTTTTTAATTTTTATAATTAAAATATTATAAAAAAATAATTAAATATATATATCGGTTTGGTTCAATTTCCGAACCTCAAAAACCGAAACTGAACCAGCCATATTCGGTTCGATTCGGTTTGACAATTTTCGGTTTCGTTTTTTTCGGCCTAGGTCTGGTTTGGTTCTCTGTTTTTTTCGATTTTCGATTTTTTGAACCCACCCCTAAATTGTTATTTTGATAAAGTGCAACATTGAATGGATAACCGTCACGTATATTTCAAGTTTACATCGAGAAAAACAGAATACATGATTTGCCCGTAAGAACATCTGTTGAAAGATGGAAAAATTACACAAAACTACCTCAACTATTAGGGTCACGACAGTTTCATACCTCATCTTTTAAAATTGAAAATGTCATACCTCCGTCAATTTTTCTGTTAGTTTTTCTGTTAAGTGCTGACGTGGCAAGAGACGAGGACCACTCACTAATCGAGCTGGATTAAAAAATAATTAAATATATTTTTAATAATTAAATATTAAAAAATTAAGAATAAAAAAACAAAAACAAAAATTCCTAGGGGTGTGGCACGACATCCCCTTCCCTTTACCCGCACCAACAAATTTTTATGTTCTTCTCTCTCCTCCTTCTTCTTCTTTATCTTCATCTTCTTCTTCTCCTGGGCCGAAACTGGATTTGTCACTTTTTTTTTTTCGTTCTTCTTGGGCCGAAATTGGGTATGAATTTTTTTTTTCTTTTTTGTTTTTTGTTTTTGTTTCTGGGTTGCAAGTAGAGGGAAAAGGGGACAAAGATGAAGATGGGGAGGAGACAGAGAGGGTTCTTCTTCTTCTTGGGCCGAAACTGGGTTCGAAATTTTATTTTTTTATTTTTTTGTTTCTGGGTTGCAGGTAGAGGGAAAAGGGGAAGAAGATGAAGATAAGGGAGGAGAGATGAGTGTGTGTTGGGTTGGGGGGGGACAAACTGGGTTGGGTTGGGTTTTTTTTTTTTTTTTTCTTTTCTCCTTCTTCTTCCTCCACAGGAAGGGGTGTTTTAATTTTTTTTCTTCTTCCTCTTCCTTCTTCCTTCTTCCTTCTTTTTCTGGGTTGCAGTTTGGCTTTTTTTTTTCTCCTCCTCCTCCTCTTCTTCCTCTTCGCTTCCTTCTTCTTCTTCCGCGGGCAGGCCGGGAGGGGGGGGTTGAGTTGATGGGTTTTCTTCTTCCTCTTCCTCCTTCTTCTTCCTTCTTCTGGGTTTTTTTTTTCTGGGTTGCAGTTTCCATTTTTTTTTCCTCCTTTTCTTCTTCCTCCTCATTCTTCCTTCTTCTTCTTCGGTTCTTCCTCCTTCTCCTGGGGGGGGGGGGCGGAGGGGCCGGTGGGGTTGGGGGGTTGGGTTTTCAAATTTTTTTTTTTTTTGTGTGTTAAAGATTAAGCAGGGAAGAAGATGAAGATGGGAAGAGAGAGAGGGGGGAAGCGATGACTAAGGTTTTTTTTTATAACTTTTATTTATTATTTTAATATTTAAAAAATATTAAATATTTTTTTTAGTTTTTAATAATATTTTATTAATTTTTTAATAGAAAGTGGGCTCTGAATTAAGCCACGTCAGCACTTAACAGAAAAATTGACGGAGGTATGACATTGTCACAAATTCGTAAGATGCGGTATGATATTATCAATTTTAAAAGATGAGATATGAAACTGTCGTGTCCTCAATAGTTGATGTAGTTTTTTGTAATTTACCCAATTATTTTTATTTCTTTATGTCATAGAGTGCAAGCACCATAATACAAAATAGAAAGGTAAAAACATCACATAAATATAGTACCATCGAACATCATAAAATATCCTTTTGAAAACATGCCACTTTCAATGCAATTGCTACACCATCACCTGTTCTTTTAAAAAAAATTTAAGAAAATCTCGAAAGTATGAGGGGAATTTTTATTAATATATATATATAAGGTACACCTAGTCATGGAGGATATAAACTTAACCCCTTATAATACAAGAAAAAAGGATAAAAAATACATGAAAACAAGGGGGGACATATACCTTACCCTTCTAGAAACAAAGTCAACAAAGATACAAGAAATTGCTACCCCATCACCTTATCTTTGATGTCATCAAAGAATCGAAAATAGGCATACCTCCACGGTGTTTTTAAGACCAATGTACCGTAAACACCCCAAAAGCCTACGATAAAGCCAAGTACCACGCTGACATAGAACCACAACTTATCATTTCCATCTTCATTCTTGTCCTTTGCAACCTTCAAGTCATCTCCAGGGCACTGAGTTGAAAGAGGAACGCCACATAGCAATGGATTATTCATGTAAATGGATAAATCATTCAACGTTTGAAGTTGGTTTCCTGAAAGAATTCTTCCGGACAAGTTGTTGTAAGACAAGTTCAAGTGGCTTAAAAAGTTTAAAGATGACAAGCTTTGAGGCATCTGTCCCGAAAGGTGATTGTGGGAGAGATCAAGAGTTTCGATCAAATGCATTTTTCCGATCTTGGAGGGTATCTTTCTGATCAATTGATTCATGAACAAGTTCAACGTACCCAATAAAACAAGGCTACATATCTCTTCAGGAATCTCACCTTCTAACACATTCGATGAAAGATCAATGCTCTTTACCAATATGAGAGTCTTGTTATACAAATATTGACCCCCTTTTAGTGTCCACTAGCAAGAGTGCCCGCACGGTGCTGCGGGTTTTCAAACTATACAAAACATGTAGAAAGTTTTAAATGTATATATGATATGCCATACTATTTACATACATGTGGAAAATGTACTTACAACACTATATACAATAAGGAACAATGAGTAGGATTGGACTTTGTTAATCTGATGGGCTTGTTTTCATTTTGCTTAGGATAGTTGACTGAAATTAGGAGAGAAATAGAAAAAGAATTTCATAAATTGTTTATGAAGGAAACAAATTCAGTTCATATTATATATAATAGATGATCTATTACCTATAAGGAAGAAGATTCATAAAAATGAAAATCATAGACCCTAAAACTTCCAACATGGTGAAAAATATAAACATTGCGAAATTGGAATAGAAATCAATTCTGAAAAGAAACTGAGAAGAGGGATTACATTGAATGGAAACCGTAAACACTAACTGAAACAATTCTTATAGAATGAGTCAGTCGAATTTACAACATAGTGAGGAGTGTAATCTTGCTGCCAATTGCTAAACCAAGACTACCGACACCAAATCAGAACATTTTAATCCTTCAATCAGTTATATTGGATGATGCTAAGCATGCATGGTTAAATTAGACGATGACTTGGAACATCTTCTTAAAGCTTAAAAGTACATCACTTCAATTAAGCATATGTCGAGACTATCTCTAATCCTTGGTTAAACCATGACTTGGAACATGTCCTTAAAGTCCCAAATTTTAGTTGGTAAAACAGCACAAAGAACTTATAGCTCCAACCAGTAATCAAACTCTACTGAAATCAGCTAGGATAATAACTGAAATGAAAAAGAAACAAAAATATAGGAATACCATATTAATTTTCAAATCTTACCACCAGTCTGCAGGGTGTGCCGAAAGCTTGTGTCTCACCATGGCTCAGTCCTTGCCTTGTTAGTAACTTTGCCGTCAAATCTTTCAACTGCAATGATCAATTGAACATGATCAGAGAAAAACCACATATGGCAAAGCACACAACTTTCAAAATGCTCATGGAATCCACAATCAAAACTTTTCACTTTGCTTCTATCTGCAAGATACCAAAACGATATTAACAATGAAGGGATCATAACAAATCTCATTAAAGAACACACTGCATTTATTACCAAAGTGTTAACCAGGTGAAAGTATAAAATATTACGGATTTACAGAGTCAAATTCTACATTTGTTGATTATAATCAGTGAAATAAACAGTAATCTATACAACAATAAATATAAAAATAGTTATTGAAGTTGATTTCGCAATTTCTGAAGGTTTAAAGACTGGAGCATCAGATATTTGTTGAATTTAAAACTTTATGTGATCTTAATCCACTTATTAAATACAAAATACAACAATGTAATTACTTTGCTATCACATTATGAAGTACAGTTAAACGCATTGGCAAGATATCAATCGTATAGGAAACAAAATAAAAAAAAGATTATGGAATAAATCAGTAACTAAAATCAGTTAGCATCTGAATTAACATCCGAATTATCAAACAATTCCTAAGAATCAATTCCAATGCGAAAACAACGATTCGGATAAAGAAGAAATCCCAGAACGGGCTGCAATTAAATTAACTTTTATGATGAGGAGAAGACAAACTAAAAAGCAACTTTTCGATTACATTCAAAGGAAAAAAAAAAAACAATTGAAGCAGAACAAAATTATCTTGAAAACAATAATAAATTATTGAAGATCATAACATTATGCAATTGCAAACCCATCAACGTAAATTGAATTTACCAGTTCAAGATATAATAAAAAAAAAATTAGAAACTTCATAAGCAAGCAAGGCAATGGACAAAACCCACAAAGGATCCCAAAACCTCTGGGAATTCCGAAATTTTTCGTTTTTTGGCGTACCGAAATAAAACTAAAAGGCGTGATCTAATCAATTTGAAAAATATCTCAAGAATTCACATATCATTACAAAACAAAATTCATCGTTAAGATTAAGAGCAACCGAATAACACAATAACAAAACAGAAAAAAAAATTATAAATACCTTTATCAAATCTCTTGGGATTCAAGTCCATTGACTTCACCCCCATACTACGTGGTGCCCCAGAAATTCTTGTAACTTTAGTAGCCTTGATCATGCATGTGTCAGTACAAATACAAAAAAAAGATAAATGCAATTTATTAGACTAAAGAATTTGGTATCAATAAACTTACAGTGATGCCAATAAATAGCGATTGAAGATAATTTTTCGTGTTGCTACATTGAGAGGGGCACCCAAACCTGATATTTAAAAAACAAAATATTCAGTACAATGTAAACAATTCAATATTATTGAATGTTTTATGTATATTTCATGGTTCAAGATCCAACATATATAGGATAAGAAACGGGAAGGAGAGTGGAGATACAAAAGGTGGAGAATAATGGCAGCTAAGCAAGCATCATTGTGGCCTCCACTCTCACTAACTTAAACTACTAATTAGCTTTACAATGATGATGAATAACAACCAGCTAACACTAGCACTAAGCTGAGCTGTTATCCATCAAAAACTTAAACAAAGGGTTGCATTATTCTTCCAACATTGAACCCTACTTCCACCTGCATTATTTCCACTTGCATTATTCTTCCAACATTGAACCCTACCTTCCAATACTCCCCCTCAAGCTGGATCCAGAAGGTTGATGGATCCAAGCTTGGAGAGGAGCCTTTGAAACTGATGAGAAGCCATAGGTTTGGTGAATATATCAACCAGTTGATCGGAGCTTTTTACATAATGCGTCTGGATCACCTGCGACTGTACTTGTTCACGGACATAGTGGCAGTCGACTTCAATATGCTTCGTCATCTCGTGAAAGACAGGGTTTGATGCTATGTGCATGGCAGCCTGGTTGTCACACAATAAGGTCATTGATTGAGCCGTGAACACACCTAAGTCACATAAAAGTTCTTTTAGCCATATCAGCTCACACGCGGTTGAGGCCATTGCACGATATTCAGCTTCGGCACTTGATCTTGCGATGACAGTTTGTTTTTTGCTCTTCCACGTGACCAAATTTCCACCAACAAAGGTACAGTAACCAGTGGTGGACTTGCGATCGATGGCGTTTCCTGCCCAATCTGCATCGCAGTACCCCATTATTTGAGTGTTGTCATTCTTCGCCATGAGGATGCCACGACCAACGGACCCTTTTAAGTAACGTAAGATCCTTTTTACAAGGTTTAGATGCTCGATGGTGGGGGAGTGCATGAACTGACTGGCGATACTTACTGAATATGAGATGTCCGGTCTGGTGATTGTTAGGTAGATCAGCTTGCTGACAAGCCTCTGATAGAAGCTTATATCCGAGAGTGGCGTGTCTCCCAAGTCAAGTTTGAGCTTGCTATCGAGAGGGGTAAGTGCAGGCTTAGCCTCACTCATATTAGCTTCCTTGAGTAGGTCCATGATGTATTTTCGTTGATTAAGAAATAGTCCCTTGTGTGAAGATGCCATTTCGATTCCAAGAAAATACTTCAACACCCCAAGATCTTTAACAGCAAATCTTTGTTGAAGTGACTGTTTGAGTGTGGAGATTTCTGCAACATTATCACCTGTGATTATTAAGTCATCCACGTATATCAACACAACTAATTTTCTCAAAGCTCCCGTGCGAACAAATAATGATGAATCTGCATTACTCATTTTAAAACCAACATTACGAAGAACGGAACTTAGTTTTGCATACCAAGCACGAGGCGATTGCTTCAATCCATAAATCGACTTATGCAATTTACACACCAAATCAGGTTCCTGGCTTTGAGAGTGTCCTGGTGGCAATCTCATATAGACCCCTTCTTCAAGATCACCATGTAGAAAGGCATTCTTCACATCCATTTGGTACATGGACCAATCCTTATTGACAGCAACAGACAATAGAACCTTAACTGAGTTCATTTTTGCAACAGGAGCAAATGTTTCTTTGTAATCCACCTCAAATGTTTGAGTGAATCCTCGAGCCACCAACCTGGCTTTATGCCTCTCAATTGAACCATCAGAATTAAACTTGATCTTATAGATCCATTTGCAACCCACTGCCCTTTTTCCTTTTGGAAGTTTGGTGATGCTCCAGGTGTTGTGTTGGTCTAGTGCTTTGAGTTCATCTCGCATTGCTTCTTTCCACACAGCTTGGTTATTAGCCTCATGAAAGTTTTGAGGCTCACTGTGACTTGAAATGGTGTTAAGAAAAGCAGCATGAGATGGAGTTACCTTTTGATACGACACGCAATTGGAGATTGGATGCCTAGGTTTATATGTGACAAAATCTTGAAACCTTATGGGAGGTTGTCTATCACACCGAGGATTGCGTCGAGGTACTAGGGGAGTTGTCTCATCCTCATTCAAGTTATCAGCCACACTTTGAAGATTTCCTTGATTGCCGTTGTCATCATCATGCACAGAACCATCAGGATGAGTGCCTTCATTGTTGACTTCAGTGAGAGGTGTAGGAGATTCATCGGTGTTGTCATGGTTATAAACTATGTCATTTATAACATCTTGAGTGCTGATTCTTGGTAGAGGAAGCAGGCCTAAGATACACTCCCCCTGACTTGTGGCTTCATGTGATTTACTGAAAAAAGGGTTAGCTTCATGGAATCGAACATCTTTGGATACAATTATTTTCCTCAATTGAGGATCATAGCACTTATATCTTTTTTGTGTTGATGAATAACCAAGAAAAACACATTTGAGAGCTCTAGGGTCCAATTTAGATGCTCGATGGTGTGGCTGAACATGAACAAAACAGACACAACCAAAGACTCTAAGATGTGAAAGGTCGATTTTTCTTCCTTTCATACCTTCAAGGGGAGATTTAAACTCCAAGACTCGGCTAGGAAGTCTATTGATGATGTACACAGCCGCCATGACTCCTTGGGACCAAAATCTCTTTGGTACATTCATTTGTAACATTAATGCTCTTGTTTTTTCCAGTATGTCACGATTTTTTCTTTCGGCTACACCATTTTGTTGAGGTGTGCCAACACAACTTGTTTGATGCATGATACCATGCTTGCTCAAATATTGTGACATGATATGGGACATATATTCGGTGCCATTGTCAGATCTTAAGGTTTGAATTTGAGAGGAAAAATGGTTCTTAACAAGGTTGTGAAAATCCTTAAAAACTTCTATCACTTCACTCTTAGACTTTAAAAGGTACAACCATGTGGCTCTAGAGAAATCATCAACAAAGATTACATAATACTTATAACCATCAAAAGATTCAAACGTTGGTCCCCATACATCTGAGTGAACTAGTTCGAAAACTTTACTAGTCCTAGATAAGGATGAGTTAAAAGGCAATCTAGTGGCCTTAGACAGATGACATGTTTCTCACTGAATTAAATCATTCCCTAAGTTTGGAAACAAAGATGACAGAATAGGTTGGGAAGGATGAGCTAAACGTTGATGCCACAATTGACTATCCTGGGATGAATTGGACTTGGCTTGAAATCCTCTGGGACTGCTCTTTGATATGTAATAGAGACCATCTAGGTAAAACCCTTCACCAATCGTCTTCTTGGTGAGACAATCCTGAAAAATGACATTGTGAGGAGAGAAGATGGTTAAACAATTTAAGGTGTTGGTGATTTTTCCCACAGATAGAAGTTGAAATGGAAAAGAAGGAACATATAAGGCTACTGACTCAATTTTGTCCGACATTAAGTTGATATTTCCTTTGCCTAAAACCTTAGAACTCTCACCATTGGCAGTTGAGACTTGAGAAGGTTGTGAAAATTTTTCAAATTTGTGAAACTTAGAAACATGGTTGGTCATATGATCTGTGGCACCCAAATCAACAATCGAAAAATCATGCATCATATTTATATTAAGAGTAGTTTTGAAAGCAGCCATGATACCTAGCATGTCATCTCGGGGCATGTGTTGTGTGTCTGTTAAGAAACCAGTGAACTTGCCTAGCAAAGCTGTTGAGTTTCCATCTTCGAAACCAACCGTTTGATCACTCTTAATCCCTTCTTTTTTGCTTTGAAGATATGCTGCAAAATCATTTATGAGTGCAGCCAGATTTGCTGTGAAGCTTTTGAGTGCATCAGACCCATGTGATGTTGAGGCAAATGCTTTGTAGGCTTTGTGTGGTGCACGATTTAGTCTTTGTGAGCCCTTGTTATCCTTCATGAACTCCGACTTTAATTCTGGATGTAAGATCCAGCATGTCTCCTTAACGTGACCAGTATAGTTGCAATGTTGGCATTTCAAGTGTGGATTCTTTACTTTGTATTTTCTTTCGTTGGTTAGGTAAGCCCTTACTTCAATTACACTGGTCTTTGTGCCAATGTTCATGACTTTCCTTCGTACTTCTTCACGTTGGATTGTTGCACATACACTGGTGAAGGAAGGTAGTTCAAGGTTCATGAGTATGTGGCTTCGCAGGTCTTCGTATCCTGAATCAAGGCTTGACAAGAGTTGGAATATCTTGCTTCTGCCCTTTTCAGTAGTACAGACGCTTCAGTTGTATGAGGCCGATACATTTCCAACTCATTCCACATGCTCTTCATGCTGCCTAGAAGTTGAACAAAGGGCTTTCCTTCTTATTGTAGGTTGGAAATGTCCTTCTTCAATTGAAACACACATGCAGCATTGTTCTGACTGCCATATATCTCCTTGACTGTTTCCATAGCTTGAATGATGATTCAGAATAACTGAATATTTCAACTAGTTTACGTTCCATGGAATTTAGGAGCCACGACATAACTAACTGATCTTTGCAAAGCCAGGATTCATATGTTGGTGAGGGCGCATCAGGAACTTCGATGCTTCCATTTATGAACCCTAGCTTGGACCTTCCACCTAGGGCAAGACTCACTGCTCTCGACCACGGCAAGTAATTAAACTCATTTAACAAGGCCGAGCTTAATCTTTGATTTGGGTTGACATCCACCTCAGACAAGGTTGAGGAGGAAAATATCTGGGAATTTTCAGCTTCAGACGAAGAAGAATTTTCTTCCGCCATATCGGAGATTGTAGGAATGCAGCAGCAGGTTATTTTTCCTGCTCTGATACCATATTGAATTTTTTATGTATATTTCATGGTTCAAACAGCTACAAGATCCAACATATATAGGATAAGAAACGGGAAGGAGAGTGGAGATAGAAAGGTGGAGAATAATGGCAGCTAAGCAAGCATCATTGTGACCTCCACTCTCACTAACTTAAACTACTAATTAGCTTTACAATGATGATGAATAACAACCAGCTAACACTAGCACTAAGCTGAGCTGTTATCCATCAAAAACTTAAACAAAGGGTTGCATTATTCTTCCAACATTGAACCCTACTTCCATCTGCATTATTTCCACTTGCATTATTCTTCCAACATTGAACCCTACCTTCCAATAAATATGTAGTATCAGTTTAGGATGCATAATTCAAGGCTCTAAAACCCTCAAAATCACAGGAAAAAAATTCAAACACAAAATCTACCCGCAAATCGAAAACGACAAAAAAGAAAGTAAATTAGGCAACATTGAAAAAGACCTAAAACTTACCAGAAAATGCTAGATCACGCGAGGAAAAAAATGAATTTCAATGAAATCGAAAACAGCAAAAACCTGTAGCCACCCAAGGGTTTCGAACCAAAGAAGTCCGTTGGTATGAAATTTTATGCACCATTTGACAAACCAAATCAAGCAGTGTCCAAAGATCAGAAAAATATGTTAAAAAGTAGAAATTGTATTTGATATAGATTAAAATGATTGAGTAATTGTGAGCGACTTACGACAAAATGAAGATGATTAAGGGAGGAGAGTAATCAAATTCGATGACTTCAATTGTAACAAATGGAAGGCCACCATTGAAAAGGTGTTAAAAAGCTGAGAATATATGTCAAAATGATATTTGAACCAACATTTTTTTGGAGTGTGATGTTCTATAATTAGAAATTATGTAAATAGTTATGTATAACTGATTTATTGTGGAAGAGTGTGATTGAGAAACATATTGGATATATTGATCTATGACTGGTTGGTGATGCAAGGAACAGTATTGGAGGATTGTAAAAAAGTGGAATATGTTGAAATGAAGGTAATTGCAAAAGAAGTTAATAGATTGCATGACTGAATCAAATTGGAAGCATAGTAATGTCATTATTTGGTTTCAAATTTTGAGATCATTGTTTACATATTTTAGTGTAAAGGATAGAATTCAATTAAACAGATTGATTAAAATGGTGTAAAAAGATGGATCAGACATAGTTAGTTTGGTGTCTTTGTGTAGTACAGAGATATAGTTTGCTGAGTTATTTCAGCCTCCATTATTTGGAGAAATAATCATCATTTCCATCTTTTCTCTTCAGAGGAATGAGTTGCTACCAATTTATATACAGAGGCTTTCTCATTTTGACCTGTTGTAAACACATGGCTAATTTTCTGGTTGTTCAATGAGGGGTTTGAGTTGGACATGCAAAAGTATAAATCTAGATGTTCCCATTGAAGATACTCTTACACATGTTCAATTTAACTCATCAGTGGACAAATAAGGAATTAAGCATGTATTCAGAGCAGGTAAAAAGAAGATAGTTTGTATATATATTGGTAGCAGCCAATTCCCTTGAAGAGAAGGGTTAGTAAACATTGAATTTAAATGCAAGACAACCAAGAAAAGAGAGTTAAGAAAACATACCATTAAATTGTTCCATTGTGGTTGAGGATTTAGATATCGTTAGGGTAGGATGTTAACATCTCACTCCATATCTAAAAAGCAATTATAAAAATTTTGTTTATTAGAACATCTTTAATCTTTTTGAAAATGCTTAAATTTTAATTTTTTGCCAAAAATTTGAAATGGATAAATGTCTAATTTTTTTTGTAATATATTAAAAAACAGGATAGGTAGAGAGAAGAAGATATTGTTTAGTGTGTACAGAGCAGAAAGAATGTAGTGCAAATTGTAATCCATAGCAGAAAAAGTACATATAAAACGTGTTGTATAAGTATTTATTAAGCTGTAAATTAAAGGTGTTAAATTTATGTAAACATCTAAAGCATGCGTGTAACATGCTATAAACCAAATGTAGACAAAACATGCAAAAGAAAGAAAAACGAAGAAGGAAAGAATAAGTAAATATAGTTTTTTTTTTTTTTTCGAAAGTTAAGATTGTATTGAAATCAATAGGACTAAAGCCTAACCATTACATTGGCATCCTCTGCTAAAATATTAAATAAGAATTCAGGACCTAATTCATCCCAGCCAAATCTCCCGCCATGCTTAACAACGTACGCCGCGATCGAATGGGCATCACGATTGCATTGACGAGGGGTAAAGCAAAACCGTACCACCGGAAAAACACAAGTCATCCTCCAAATATCTTGGATATAGACCTCAAGCTTCACATCAACTGTCGTCTCCTTATTGAGCATATTAATCAAGCCTTTAGAATCCGATTCCACCACCAAACATGTACTTCCCGCCCAAACCTCACTCCCCACCACCGACTCCAAGCCCCGTCTAATTGCCTCTGCCTCCGCCATAATGGCGTCCCCGAACCGTTCCCCTCCCATTCCTCTTGCGAGCAAAGGAAGACCAGCAAAATCCCTAAGGACCCACCCAACTCCTCCCTCTCCCGTGGCCTTTTTCCAAGCAGCATCACAATTCAACTTCAACGTACCAAACAGCGGTTTTTGCCACAATAGTAGCCCTACCTCTTCTCTCCTTTCCCCCACCACGATACCATCGCCATGCCTCACCCCTCCCTCCCCGCTACCTACCCTACGTCCCCCCCGTACCCTATCCCACCTATCACTGCCCAAGGCCCCAGTGCCCCATTCCGAAGTATCCGAAGCCGTTCGAAACTCCTCCACATGCCGGTGCCAAAGCTCCACAGCCACCCGTGGCTCCGTCGTCACCCCCTTGAAAACCAAGTCATTTCTGCACTTCCAGATACGCCAGAATCCAAAAACCACCTGTTGCAAGATCAAATCCGCATCCTCCACATTCTCCAGATGCTTCACAACCAACTTCCAACCCTCCAAGAAATCCTGGACATCCAAAGCCGCCATATTCAATTGCATCGACGTTCCAAACCAAAAGCTACGGCTAAACTCACAATTAAAGAATAGATGAGCCTCAGTTTCATCATTGACTCCACACAGCTCACATCTATTTAAAATATGAATTCGCCGACGTTCCAAATTATGCCTTACCGCCAACGCCCGCCTACCAGCCTTCCACATAAAAAACTAGAGCTTTGGCGGAACATCGAGAAGCCAAATCGTCTTCCACAACCCCCCCAAGGAACCCATAGAACTCGACATCCCCCTCCCTTTCCTCCCAAACTCTCCATTTTTCATCATATCCATTGCAACATGGTAACCCGACCTTACCGTATATACTCCGGTCTTTGTGTAGTGCCAAATTCTTTTGTCCGCACACCCATACCGACTAAACGGAATAGCGCGGATCAAAACCATATCCTCTGGTGCCACTCCCCTTTCTAACGCCTCCAAATTCCACCCTTGCCTATCCACCGTCATCAACTCACACACCCTAGTATTAGGATCCAAACTCCGCAGCACCGGCTTAAACGAGTGGGGTTTGGGAACCCATGGATCAGCCACCCTAACCGTCTCTCCATTACCCACCCTCCATCGAAGCCCCCGAAGCATAATTTGTCTCCCCAAAAGAATCCCTTTCCACCCCAAGAAGAGTTCTTCTGTTGTCGGGCCTCCACAAACGAAGAATGTGGAAAATATTTATCCCTAAGCATCGACTCCGGTTTATCCATCACCCTCCACCCAATTTTCGCGAGCATGGCCAAATTAAACCCAACAAGGTCACGGAATCCCAACCCTCCCATCTTCTTGCTCTCAGTCAATTTGTCCCATGCCACCCAATAGCATCCCCTAGTGTTCGGTTGATTCCTCCAAAAGAAATGAGCAATGACTCGCTCCATCTCTTTACACAAAGTCACCGGCAATTTAAAACATGCCATAACATGGTTCAGCATCGCCATTGCGACCGATTTGATCAATACCTCCTTACCTGCCGGGGACAAAAACTGTTCCGCCCATCCATCAATGCGACTTTCCATACCACGTCGTACAGATTCAAATACCGCCTTCTTCGAATGCCCAAAATCTGCCTGGATCCCCAAATACTTACCAAAGCCGTCTCGTGCCTGAATATTCATTCTAGACACAATACGCTTTTTAGTCTTCTTATAACACCATTTCCCGAAGAAAATAGAACTTTTCGCCAAGTTAATAATTTGGCCAGACTTCCGCCCATAGTTCTCCAAGATCCGAATAACAGTCCCCACCTCATTTTCATCCGCTTTACAAAAAACCACCGAGTCATCTGCAAAAAACAAATGCGAGATGGCGTGTGCTCCAAGTGCCACCCGCACCCCACTAATAAGCCCTGCCCTTTCATTTGCCCGAATATACGCAGATAATGCTTCTGCACATATGAGAAAAAGAAAAGGTGACAACGGATCACCCTGCCTCAAACCCCTCTGGGGTCGGAAGAAACCCGAGGGAACACCATTGATTAGCACGCTATACGACACCGACGATATACATTCACGAATCCAAGCGCAAAAAGATGGATGAAAACCCATATTCCTCATAACGTCAAGGAGAAAATGCCATTCCACACGATCATACGCTTTTGCCATATCCAGTTTGACTGCCATCCTACCATTCTCGCCTTCCACACCTTGTTTTAGGGAATGCAACATTGCAGCATAACTTTTTAAACCAATATTTCACCTGTTTAATCGCAGCCTCAATTGTTTTGGAGAGTGCGAAGATGATATGTCTTCTTAAGTGTTCATACGGCATCTGCAAAAGAAAGAAAGCAATGGAAGAAAGTTAATGATAAGTGAAAAAAATGTAAAATGTGAATGGACAAAAGTGGGAAAATAAGGTAGAATTTAGTAAAAAATACTAAGTTTTTTTGTCAAAGCATTTTATCCTAATCAAAATCCCAAACTGAAACAACATTTGTAATTAGATGTAAGAAAAATTTGGCCCAAGCAGTTGAGTATGGTACCAACATTATTATACTACTATTTTAATCACATTGAATAAAAAATGTAAACGTTTAGTCATAGGTTAGTAAAATAAACAGTCTGCTCATAAATTTTGCAATACATCTTTAAACACTATGTTTGCAGTATAGTTGTTTACATTATTGTCTCCATCTGGAATCAAAATCTTCAAACCTTCTTTTGATGTAACTCTAGATAATGCTACATATAATTGACCATGGGTAAAAACAGGTTCAGGAAGATATAAACCAACTTGTTTCAAAGATTGACCTTGACTTTTGTTGATGGTCATTGCATAACATGATCTAGCAGGAAATTGGCGTCTTTTAAAATAAAAGGTCACTTATTTTCCGTTGTTGTCAAAGTGATTCTCGGAATGAATACTTTGTGACCAATATTGTTTCCAGCAAGTATTTTAGCTTCAATAATTTGGTTGAATAATTGAGTAACTACTAATCTAGTTCCATTACACAAACCCAAAGACTGATTTAAATTTCGTTACAGCATAATTGGCATTCCTATTTTCAAAATTAGGTTATGTGTAGGTAAACCATTGAAATCGAGCTTATTCAAAAATTTAATAGGATACAATATTTCTAAATTTTCATTATTTCCATTTGAAGAACACAAAGAATCATAGCTTAGAAACACATGTTAATCTCCAGGCAACAAATGGGTTATATAATTGTTTATATCTGTAACAGTTGTGTTTCAAGGTGTTATAATAGCACGTTCTCTCAAGTAGGCAAAATCTTGATAAGAATGTTCAAAATTGGGATAAGTTCCAAGAAAAATTGATAAAATTGGGTTGCAAGAAGAATTAACTATTAAATCTTTAGGTATTTCAATCAGAGATGTATCTTTATCATTTGAATTGTTTTAACCGATTTTTCCATCACCTATTTGTAAAATCCAATTTGCAAAATCACTTATTGTTCTCTTTTCATCAATGTCTAACCCATTTTTTGATAATCTCATGTTTTCTTTTAAATAAAATATTTTAAAATGTGACCATAAATAAGAACTATTTAAAGAAGCATTTATTATGTCCTCTTTGCTTCCTCCAGGTATAACAGGTAATATTTGTCGAAAATCACCACCTAATAAAAGAGTTTTACCACCAAATGGAGTATTGCCTTGTGAATCATTTAAATGGGACATAATATCATAAAGTGATTTATCTAATGCTTCAAAACAATGTTTGTGATTCATCGGTGCTTCATCCCATATAATCAAATCTGTTTTTTCAATTAATGTTGCAAGATGAGTTTTTTTTTTATTGCACAAATTGAAGAATCAGTAACAACCAAGGGAAATTTAAATCTGGAATGTGTTGTTCTACCAGCTGGTAATAACAACGAAGCTATCCCTAATGATGCCACAGCTAAAACAATTTTTTTATCAGATCTAAGCTTACTTATGATAACATCCCATAAGAAAGTTTTTCCAGTGCCTCCATGGCCATAAACAAAAAACAAACCACCTTTTTTTCTTTCCACGGCATCTATAACACAATCGTAGATAAGTTTTTGATCTTGATTAAGTTGCAATTTTAAATTTGCGTGTTTTTTTTACAATTGTTCAGAATCATAGTTTAATTCTTCTCTTAGAAGCTTATTTTTAATTTTTAACATTTTTCTTGCATCATGTATTGGTAAATGATACTTGGCTAAAGAACTCGATGCATTGTTAAAAAGCAATTCTAATTCAAATAACACAGAATTTTTTAATTCATCTTGTGGTATGATCATATCAGGAATTGCAAAAGTTTTTCGCAAGTTGTACAAAATGTCAACATACATGTTTTGCCAATGAGTATCAAAAGGAGTTTCAGGTTCTACCACATCACAATATAAAATGATTGTAACAAATAATTGTCTCAACTGAGGAGATGACGCTACATTTACAGCACTTGACAAAGCCTTAATCCATTATTTATCATCTCCTGACAATCCCAATGATTGACATGCAGCATGATATGAAGGATGTACAATACCATTAACAGTTTTGAGATCATCAAAGTTTAATGCACCTTTTTTCAAGTTCAAAAGCATTCATAAATAATATAATTCACCAGATACAGGATGCACATACGCTCTTCTACCTATTGAACCTTTTTGTTTTCTAGGTTTCCACATTTTTTCCCGTGTGTCATATAACAATTTTGAAGGAAATTGTGCATAAGTGAGTGAGCACGCTTCACTATAAATTTTGTTAGTTTTAAACCAACTTGTTAACATTGTATGGTTAGAGGCTTTTTGTTTGATAATTGAATGGAGTGATTAATCACCACTGAAAACAATATTCTATTCAAACGGTAAATGCACTGGTAATCGCTCTACAGAAGGTTAAATTGTTTCTATTCAAACGGTAAATGCACTGAAAACAATATTCTATTCAAACGGTAAATGCACTGAAAACAATATTCTATTCTATTCAAGTTTGCAAATTCACTCGGAAAAGGACTGGTTAAATTGTTTCTGGCTAGATTAAGCTCTTTGAGGCTAGTAAAATTAAAAAGCCAACTAGGAAATGCAGAATTAATCTTATTATCTGACAAATCAAGGATCAAAAGGGATGTGAAATTAATCTTTTGCAGTGAGAGTGGAATGCTTTTGATTTGGCACGACGACAAGTGTAACTCTAACAATGAAGGAAGCGTGTTAATATCATACGCCCAACTGACTCTTGTGCTGCTAAGGTCAATGCCTTCGAGATTAAGGTATTTTAGGGAAGAGAGGTGAGAAACCCAACTCAAGTTGCTGGAAGATAAATTGTAATTAAACCCGAGATCAAGAAAATTCAGGCTTGACAGGTTACCAAGAGAATAGGGAATCTCTCCCCCGAACGATGAAGAGGAAAGATTGAGATATTGCAAACTGTTAAGCTGCCCAAAGAAGTTTGGAATGGGAATAATGCCGTGGAAATTATTCATGCTCAGGTCAACGTAATTCAAATATTTCAAGGTTAACAAAGAAGCATTTATCTTACCTCCCAAGCAAGACTGTT